CGTGGCATCTTAGGGTGGGGGGTTTTTGATATTCCTTGGGCATCGGGTTGGGGAAGGGGACATCCTGGCCACAGGGGCCTCTTCATAGGTGAGGAAGACTGTGTCAGCCTGGCTTTAGTTTCTCTTGGCCTTGGGCTAGGGACTAGGACCATGGCCCTTTGGATACTAAAGGGAACAAACTCAGAGATCTGAGGATGATGATGTAACATTCATCAATGAATGTTGATGTGACAGGCTACCAGGGTTGGGTGGTGAGCAGTAGGTAAACGGGAGACTCCGGAAGGGATGCCAGGGTCTAAGTAAATATGAGGCAGCGTGCCGAAGGGGCCTAGTGGACCATAGAGGGCACCACTGCGCTCACTAGGACAACAAAATGAAAATGAAAGCCATTTGAATGGGTCATGGAGACCTGGGAGAACACGGCCTCGATGTGCTGAGTGTCCTGTGTCTTCGACAACCTGCCAAATGCTTTCAAGCCTGATTGCACTCAGGACCCAGGGGAGGGCACATGAGCCCTCTTAACAAGTGGAGAAACTGAGGTGCACAGAAATAAGTCGTCTGACTTGTTGTACAGCAAGCGTTGAGTTCAAATCCAGCACTTTCTACATGGAAAGCCCCTCTTTTGCCACTGAATTGAATGTCACTAGCAGATAGCTGAGTGGGCTGCGTGGGGGTTGGGGGGAGAAAGCACAAACCATGTGTAGTCCTGCTGGCCAGGACCTAGGACCTTCATGGTCCTCAGAGAATGGAGGCGAACACTGAGGGTCCTATTGTCTTACACCAGGTACATCCCAAATGTCTGTCCTGCACAGGGCTGTGTGGTCACCATAAAGAGAAACATGAGAAACTCAGGCCCGGCCTGAATGTCCCGGCTCCAATGGTGCCTACGGAGCATCAACATAAATTATGAGTCTTTATGCAACAGGTCCTTTTCATGGTGGTCTGTTGCTTTTCTGGTCTCGTTTCTAACATTCCTCTCCCTAGCTAAGGTCTGGTCATCTTGGCTCTCCATTGCTTCATGGAAGCATGCTCCCAATGGCAGGTCTATGAGCCAGCAGTTCCCTTTATCTGGACCATGCTCCCACAACACGTGCAGGGTTCACTCCTCCCTCCGTCTTTGCCTCAATAACATTATCTTTTACTAGCGACATTATTAAAAACGGAGTCCCTCCACTACCTCTATTCTCTTTCCCTGGAACTTTACCACCATCCAAAGAGCATCCTGGCAGTTTTCTATGATTATGTGAGCTCAGAACTTTATCTCCCTTCTCAGAGGTGTCTTCATGACAGAGGGAACATTGTACAGGGGCTTACGGAAGCCAAAAGTAGGCTTAAGGAAGATTGACCTAGGGCTGACTGATAAAGGGCCTGGAGGAAAGGGACCTGGGAATGGAACAAAGGGACCGACCAAAGGTGACCTATCCCCTTGGGCCTTACTTACAACCACTGGTAAGAGAGCCTCAAGGGCAGACGTCAGCGACATCTGCTGCCTGGTGCTTTTGGTCTTACAGGGTCTGGTGAGAAGGCCTTTGAGGTCTACGTATGGTCCGAGAAGCAGATAGTAGAAGCAACAGAGTCTTGGAAAGTCAACTGTAGCACCAGCTGTGCAGCCCCAGAATCGGGTGGTCTGGAGACCTCCATGAGTAAGATAATGTTGGAAGAGCACCCTCAAGGCAAATGGAAACAGTTCCTAGTCTCAAACATCTCCAGTGACACGGTCTTCATTTGCCATTTCACCTGTTCGGGAAAGCAGCACTCGCAGAGTTTCAACATCAGGATATACCGTGAGTATCTGCGTGAGGCTCTATCCCCTAGCACAGCGCCCATGTCTACTACAGCTGCTGCCACTACTACACACTAACTGCTCAGTGACTTCTCCTGGGTCTCATCATGGGACTCATCTCCCTTGGTCTGTGGGCTCAGGATCTGCTTACAGCCCTGGTTGGACTCTATGAGTCCTGTACCTCAGAAGCAAACTGCAGGTTTTGACCCTTGCTCCAAGAAGGTCAGTCCAGCCAAGGTTTGCACAGATCCTGACGTCACTTCCTACCCCACTTCAGCTACCAGAACACTCACAAGGAGGAAGTAGATCGATCAGAAGAGCTAGCCTTCTCTAGTAGCTCCCTCATTTCGTGGGGGAAAGTGGAGGTGCTGTGCAGTATTCTCGTTGTTCCTCCCAGGACCTGTGGCAAATTCGTGAGCCTTGCATACCATACACAGGGTAGGCCAGGAGTCTCTCGGCTTAGCTCCAAGTGTTTCCCTGCAACTCATTACTGACACTGATGGGTCAAAGAATAGAAAGATGTCCTAAATCCTAGGTGAGTGAGTGGAGGAGAGGCCCTCTAATTTAGAAGGGAATTAGGGTACCACCATAGTCCTCATTCAGTCAATCTGGAATTATATTGGTCATCAATCTGACTGGAGAAGCAAGGCGAACCTGACTCCTGTCCCAGCATCATGAGGAAGCTCAGTCAGTTCCTCACGTGTAGCCTTCCAGATGCTCACAACACAGACACCCAGCTGTTTAATTTGAAATTTGTGCTTAGTATCTAGAGAGGACGGAAACAGGCCCAGATTTTTTATTTGTTTGTTTGTTTTTGTTTTTAAGACAGGCTTTCTTTGTGTAGTCCTGCCTGTCCTGGAATTAGCCCTGTAGATCAGACTGGCCTCAAACTCACAGAGTTCTCTGCTTCTGCCTCCCAAGTGCTGAGACTAAAGGTGTGTGATACCGCTCCCCAGCCCCAGATGTTTTTTAATAACCTTCTAATTGACTGTACCTTTTCTTCCTTCATTCGTTCCTTCCTTTCTTTCTTTTTCCTTTCTTTCTTTCTAAAGAAAGATTTACTTATTTTATATTGTGTACATTCAGAGAGGTCATCAGATCCCACCACAGATGGTTGTGAGCCATCATGTGGTTGCTGGGAATTGAACTCAGGACCTTTAGAAGAGCGGTCAGTGCTCTTAACCGCTGAGCCATCTCTCCAGCCCGGCTGTACCATTTCTGCATCTTCTCTTTGTAGACCCCTTTCTATTTTCTAAACCATGTCTGCAGAGCTAGCACCCGGCACACCCTCTACTATACACTTCCTCTTCCTCCCTCTTCCAGTGAGTGGGCCAAGTTCACTTACTCTCTCAAGTTTAGCTAGGGATCTGGGATACCAGGAGATGGGCCTTAGCCAGGCTGGACCTGCAGGGAAACAGTTCCATCCTGACTGGCCTTCCTCCTTTGTCTCCTGCAGAGCCTCCAGCTCAGGTCATACTGAAGCTGCAGCCCCCTCGGGTGTTTGTGGGTGAAACTTTCACCATTGAGTGCAAGGTGTCCCCTGTGAAGCCCCTGGAGAGCCTCACCCTCTCCCTGCTCCGTGGCAGGGAGACCCTAAAGAACCAGACCTTTGGGGGAGCTGAAACTGTCCCCCAAGAGGCTACAGCCACATTCAACAGTACAGCTCTGAAAAAGGATGGTCTCAACTTTTCCTGCCAGGCCGAGCTGGATCTACGACCCCATGGCGGGCAGATCATCCGCAGCACCTCAGAGTCCCAGATCCTTGAAGTCTATGGTAAGGAGACCCTGTTGGCTGAGAGGGTCAGAGGTAGCACTTCTTGGCAACACGGGGAAAGAAAACCCACGACTCCCACTCCTAGACGGTCTGATGTGCACATACAGTCCTGAGGGCTCCCTCATATACCCTGATTCCCTGGGTCTCTTTCCAAGTTCCAAGCTGAACACTAACTTTTCCAGAAGCCAGAAGAGCTCAACCAGCTGGCTCGGCCATTATTGAGCTGGGTAGCTTTGACTGTGGCAGTGAGCTCTCTCTAGTTATGACTCCTTTCTACAATGAGAAGGCTGGCTGGCCACGACATCCCGTGGTACCCGGTCACTGTATACTGGTGTCTGTCAGGGGACTGGTGTCAAGGGCTGCTGGAAGAGAAGGGTAGTGGCTTTGCCTGATGGCCTAGAGCATAGGCCACCTTCCTCTTAGACGTCACTCTGGAGGCAGACACCTTAGGTCACTACTCTCTGCTACTGGGCTGACTGTGGAATGTATGAATGGGTAGGAAGTGATGATGGACAGACTCCCGGGGCCCTAACATCTGATGATCTCTGAGACTACTACTGTCTCTTGCCTCCCCAGAGCCGATGCAGGACAACCAGATGGTCATTATCATCGTAGTGGTGTCAATACTGCTGTTCTTATTTGTGACGTCCGTCCTGCTATGCTTTATCCTCGGTCAGCACTGGCACAGGAGGCGGACAGGCACTTACGGAGTGCTAGCTGCCTGGCGGAGGCTGCCCCGAGCCTTCCGGGCACGTCCCGTGTGAACCAAGGTTGCCAGGCCCCTGGTGGTTACCGGAACTCAACATGGCGCCTTCAAGGTGTGGTTCAGCACTGGCTGAAGGACTGTGGCAGCAGCAGAAGATTCTGAGACATTTCCTTTTTTATAGCCTCAATACAAATACCTGGATTTCACCCTGTGCGCGCCATGACTGCTCCTGGGATAACAGTCAACACTTATACCAGGGAATGTATTAAGTGTTACCTGTTCACAACCAGTGTCTCCTCAGCTCTTCCCACCCCCTGCTCTTTCCCAGGGCTTTTTGGAGCCTCTGCATCTCAGATCCCAGATATCTACCCACACCATTAGAAGCAAATTATTTCCTCCTGAGGTCTCATGAGGTGAAAGACATTCTGTTCACACCCAACCCGGGGGACCTCATGCTGTTGCTGACTCTCCTTTCTGTCATCAATGAGAGAAGGCTCAACGGAGCTGAGTCAGCTGCAGGGGCCTCCTGAGCTGGGCCCCTCTCGGTCCATGCTGCTCTCCGGGAGTCTTAAGGAGTTTGGAGATAGGAGCTATCCTTTTCTCTCTTCCCCTGTTACAGGCCCAGGGGTGAAGACACAGCCTTCATCATCCCAGAGAGGGGCAGAGACCAGCTGGGCTCTGGTATCAGGGCCTTATTCTGGTCCAGATGGGAAACGGCGGATCAATTGGTTTTCCGTGGCTTCTGGGTCATGGTTGGGCTTAAAGGAGCCTTTACTCCAGAACAGCCAGCACAAGGTGGCAGTAGAGAGCCTGAGGAGAGGGCTTGCCGGGGACAGAGTGGGCAAGAAGGGCCAGCATGGGTGGAGGGTTGCTCCAGGGTTTGGGGCAGCCCTGTGCAGAAGCTGACGAGACCTGATGTACATCTGTCTTCATGGCAGGCTCTCGGCATCATAATAGTCTAGAAAGACAGAACCCTCAGCTTGTTCCTTCCTGCCTTGTTAGACCCCAAGGGTGAACATAGAATGGGACAAGACAGGCCCTGGAGTCGTGGTTGGCAGACACCCCCCAACCCCCGCGCCCGCCTCCCATCCACAGGGAACATGGCCCTTCTGACATCTTAGTCTGCCCCAGGTCAGGCCTCACTGCCCACCCACCCAGCCCCTACCTGAAGCGGGAGGTACATCTGCACCAACAGTCCCTGTTGCACTGGGGGGTGGGGGTGGGGGCACATCTCTCCTGAGATGGGAGAGAGAAAGGAAAGACCCCCTTCAGAGGCTCAGGATGACATCTGAGGCTTTACCTCCAAATTCCTTTCGACCTATATGGGGAACCTGGCCACGCCCTGGCCACGCCCCCTCCCTTCTCACTTACGCCTCCCCTTGCCTGGAGGCAGGGCGCTGGTGCTGAATCCTGGCAGCACCCTGCCAGGGAGGCTGATGTGGGGAAATAGGGAGGAAAGAGGATGGCCAGAGTGGCATGGGGCCCAAGGAGATCACTGGGTAAGGCAAGTAGTGATGGTGGAAGACCAAAGGCTCTTGCTCCTGCGTCTCCGTCTCTTCCTCCATCTGCTCCTCGCGGCTGTCAGTATGGACCTGGGGGTTGTGCAAAGTGAAGAGGGCAGCTGAAGACTCAGGCCTGGCCCTCCCTGCCTCCAGCACTCCACCTCCTCAGCTACTGTCTGCACAAATAATCACCACCTCACGGTAAAGGCTACTGTTCAGTGAGCTACATGCAAGCAAGGCTCCTTGGAGACGCCCACCCCATTACTATGCAGAGAGGAGAAGCTGTAAGAGGCTATGCCGCTCAGCTAAGAGCATCAGAGCTAACAGGAGGGAATGAGGTAATGCGGAACCGACTGAAAGAGTCCCAGTGACTCAGGAGCCGGTACCAGAAGTCTACAAATCTGCCCTTGTTCCTGGATCTTTTAGGGCCCCTCAAGGAAGGGAGATACTCTTCTCAGAGCCTCAGAGGACTTCGGGGTGAGAGGTAGCAGCCGCAACTCAGGGTCTAGACCTACCTCAGGATTTACCTCCTCCCTGAACCCCTCCGGGCTTCCTAGAGCCCCCTTTCCTTTGGTTCCTCTTTTCTCAGACCTCACACCCCTTACTGCCCCCCTGGGGCCTGAGGGACACAGGGAAATATCCAGAAGGAAACCCTTGAGGGCAAGAGGTGGGTGGTAGCAGAGATTCGGTAACTCCCTTCCTATTGGAAGCTGACCAATCCTTGACAAACAGTACATGCCAAAGAGACTCAGGCAGACAGGGGTGCAGGCAAGCTTCCTGCTAGTCTCTCCTCTGTTTTTTGTCTCCAGGTGGGGAACCCTCATATAGAGTCCCACCCTGGGCCCCACTTTTACCTACCTGTGGGCTGGGCCACTCTGGCCCTGGGTTCAGAGCATCTGCCACCAGTTGACTCAGTAGCAGCTGGTGCATCTGTGCATTCTGCAGCAGCATCAGCTCCAGCAGGTCTGAGGAGTGGGTTTCAACAGGCCTACCAGCGCCCCACACAGCCCCTTTCCTCCCGGGCCCAGTCCCGACCTTACTTATTATAGGATGTAACCAGCAGAAGAAGGAAGGCCCCAAGTACGAGTGTTAGAAGGGAGTCAGGAGAGTGACCCAGGACTGTTACCTTCCTTGACTCGGTTATGCTGAGGCTGAGGAGACAGGACTGTCCAAGGAAAGGGCTGCAAGAGGGTCACCCAGGGCTGGGGACATGGGTGGGGAGACTCAGCCAAATCAAGTAGATGAGGGTAGGTCATGTCAGGAGTCCCCCACTTCCCTCTCAGTGTCTCTGCACCTCATGACCCCCTTCCTCCAAGTCCACTCTCTTCCTCTTGGTTAGGGACCTCCCTTCCCACCATCCCGTACCCACCCCAGAGTTTACCGCTACCGTAGCTCCACAGTCTTCTCCCTGACTCCCGCTGCCCCATTTAAGACAGTAAGCTGTGCCCAGGCCTCACCGTAGGGGCTGCTCTCTGTGTTGGGGCATCACTCCAGCTCTCACTCCCAAGGGAGGCCATGCCCTAGCACATTAGTTACCTTGGCAGCTCTGGGGACGCCAGGGAGGGCTCCTCCCAAGAGTACACCAACCCGCCCAGCCCAGGTCGTCCGGTGCCTAGGAAACAGTCCAAGTCTCCGCCCTGGCCTCCTCTTCTTCCGGCTTGTGGGGGGTCTCACTTCTGTCAATCCACCTTGGGAGGCCCCTGTACGGGAGTTCCCCAGGCTTTGGCCATATCCTTCCTGCACCTGGTGCTGGCGCTAACCCTGGGAGAACCCATGTCTGTTGAGTGAGAAGCTGGGGTGACTTGGTTTCCTCATCCCACAAGAATAAAATGTACAGGACCAGGCATGAATGTTTGAGTCAGTAAGAAGGGCGGAGTCAGTCATGCGTAGGAGAGGGGAATCCGAAGGACCCAGTGGTTTCTGGAGGGGATCTGGCCGACCCTGGGCAACTTTACAGAACAGGCTGGGACTCTGGCCCAGAATGCCTGGGGCTCTTCACCTCTCCCTGCAGATTTGCTGAATTCCTGGCTGAGGTGAGCCACTCACTGCCCTTTTAGAGATGGGCAGTCCAGTACTAGAGTCTACAACAGTCTTCTGTTTCCAAAGCATGCATTCTTCCGACAGGAAGTTAGTGAAGTGTCTATTGCGTAAAAACAGGTGAGAGGAGAGATCTATTTCCACAGCTGTGACATCCGAAGATAGGTCTTATGCAGCAGTCGAGGACAATCCCAACAGGAAGCTGGGATTAGCACCAGAGACTCATCCTTCTCCCATCCTCCACTCCTGTCCCCCTTTCCACAGTCCTGGAGTGGAGAGCCAGAAGGTACATCCACGTCTCTTCTTTGTCCCTGTCCGTTGGTGACACTGCTGCTGGCTTTTCCTACTGCCAGAGCCTTCATCCTTTCAGCCCTAGCTAGCCATCTTCAATAAGCCAATTAAAAGGATAAATTAATAATAAAAGTGTGGGAAAAGGAGAGTTTTCAATGTGACCACATTAGGAAGAGAGACAAAAAGATCCAGTGATAGTCCCACCCCCCACACCAGGGCATCCTCAGGGTCCTGGCAGATCCAGTGATAGCTCCCCCTCCACCCACCCAGGGCATCCTGAGGGTCCTGGCATGAGGTGGGAAGAATAGCCAATCAGCCCAAGAGGGAAATCACTGTGCCCGGGAAATTAGCTAGAAGGGAGAGAGTGCTGTTGTCACTCCCAGAGTAACAGAGTTAGTGATCTCAACCTTCCTAGTGCTTCAGCCCTTTAATCCAGCTCCCCGTGCTGTGGTGACCCCCAACCGTAAGAATTTTGCTACTGTTATGAACTGTGGTGTAATATCTGATATGCAGGATATCTGCTATGTGACTCCTGTGGAAGGGTCCCGACCCACAGGTTGGGAACTGCCGTGATAAAGGCTGAGATTCCAAGATAGAGAATGTAGGTAGCATTGTGTAAGTAATGGGGGCTACGGCCAGGGGCCAGCAGGACAGAATGGGTGACATGCATAGCCAAGACTGGAAGAATCATTTTGTTCTTTGTGTCTTATCCCAATCCTATGGATACACACACACACACACACACACATACACACACATACACATATACACACATAGCACACATATATATATACACACATACACACACATATATGCACAAACACACACATACACAACATGTACACACACATACACATGCACACACATGCACACATACATATACACAAACACACACATACACACACA